AACCCTATACAGGGTTGCTTTAGTGGGAACTGACTCGACGGCACTTAACAACAACAACATAGTGGCACTTTAATTCAATACTCTGTCATGTGGTTGGCATAACCTATTTAGTATTAGTTGTTGTTTCTATGTAAACATCATTTCACCAACATAGAAAGTTCTTTTATGTTAATACCCATAGAGCCCTGGTATCTGGTAGGCAACATTACTGAGGATGACGGCAATGATGATAAAGAACTTATTTTTTCAATCCACGTTTACTACTAAAAATGCAAATATTCAAGAAGGATTTAAGTACACTGAAGAGAGATTTGTGATCCATTAATGAATGGAAGCTTAGGCTGTGTCTACAAAGTGGATGGCACTCCCTTAGATATGGGACCCTAACGCAGTCTACAACCTGAACACCAGTCCATAGAGTTCCTGGCAATAGGACTATTATTGTTGTTGTTGTTAAGTTCTGTCAAGTAGGTTCCGACCCATAGCGATCCTGAACAGGGTTTCCGAGGAGCAGCTGATGAGTTGGAACTGCTGACCTTATGGATCAAACTGACTTTGCAGTCTAGCTCATTAACCCACAGCACCAATAGCTATTACAGATGGAGACTATTAGGTGTTAATAAAAGAGATGTAATACTTGTTTCCACAGAAATCTTGGAGGGCTTAGTGAAAGATGCCATTGGAGCTAGGTAGGCTAAGAGGGGTAAGTTTAAATTGCAAATCAGAAGGATACAGGATATTTGGAAGGAACAAAGGTGAGAACAAAGGCTTCTTGGGGACCAGTGAGTAATCCAGTTTGGCTGTCTACATGGCTATCTTATGAAGTCTGCTGTAAACCACGGTGAACCATCAGAAGAGAAAAGGAATAAGCATCTGCTAATCTGCCATACTAACACATAACTAATCTGTTACAGGAGGATGCTTCAAAATGTTCATGGAAAACTTCATTATCTTTTCATTCATTTGTTTCCCCATAAACTTTTTGAAGCACTGTCATACTTTTAAAGATCTTCTTTGTTCCTAGATTATTTAAAAACAACAACAACAACAACAAAAAACTTCCAGCCTTGTTTTCTTCTAACATTTTTTTACATGTAATCATCTAGAATTCATTTTTTTAATTCAAATTTTTAATAAAATTTGGATCATCTTAACTTTTCTGAATCCCTGGGATTCCTAGGAGGAACTTAAAAAGAGGAAACATTTGTTATAGTCCTTATATTCTGAACCTGATAAATCTTTACAATTTGAAGATTTTCTACTTTTCCTCAAAAAATAAAATAAAATAAAATAAAAATTACTGAACAACTTCCTTGTGAACAACTCAATTTATGAAGAAACTAATATTGTTTTTCAGATTGAGTAAGTCAAAAAGTATTATTACAAAATCAGACCCTTTTATTAAACAAAAATACCAAAATGTGAAGGTAGTATCTCTTGACATATTCCCTTCTCTAGATCTATTGCTTCTAAAGGCAGTATTTCCATGTCTCTAGTGTAGTGGTTACGACTTGGGCTGCTATCCTCAGGGTCAGCAGTTCTAAACTACCAGCCATTCCACGGGAGAAAAATGAGGCTTTCTGCTCCCGTAGAGATTTACAGCCTCGGAAACTCGGTACAGGGTCACTATGAGTCGGAACCGACTCCACGGCACATAACAACAACAACAACCTAACCTAGTGTGGTGCTGTGGGGTAATGTGCCAGACTGCAAAGCCATTTGAACTGCAAGGTCGGTGGTTCAAGCTCACCAGTTGTTCCTCGGAAACCCTATACAGGGTCGTTATGGGTCGGAATTGACTCAATGGCACTTAACAACAATAACAACATTTCCCCAAAGATTCCTTTAATTTATACCATGTCAAAATGGCAGTTTTGGAATCCTCAAGGGAGTCAAATGTTCTTTGAGTTTTTATAAATAAAAATAAATCGGAAGTGGCAAGACCACTGTTGTAGGTTGGGTGGAATAAGGTTTCTCAACAAAATTCTCATAGGACAACCCTTACAATCCTTTAAGAATGAGCAGATGCATTGTTGTGATAAAAAAAAATTCCTCAGTGTGATTTTTCTGGCCTTTTTCTCACCAATGCAGTTTTCAATTTTCTTAAAACTTCTTTATAATAAGTCCCCATAATCACCCAGAGTCCTTTGAGAAAAAGCTATCAAGAATACTCCTTTGGAATCCAAAAAAACCAGTTACCATAACCTTCTAAGTGATCTCTTTGCCTTGAATTTAACTGGCCCAGCAGATCTCAGAAGCTGTAACAAAACTAATAAAATGGATTATGGAAAGAAATCATCTACAATCACACACGGGTAGCAGAGACATATCTAAACATGCTTTGTTTAGAATAATCTTGTGCATATATGGATTGGAACCCTAGTAGCAATACTTTTTGACTTTCCCTTGAAGAATCAATGATTAAAATGGGAAGTCCTTGGAAGAGAACAAGATTATGAAGGATCTTGAATACCATGAGAACTGCAGCGGGGGAGCTAGCAAAGTAGATGAGTAAAGGGGGCAGGATGAGTAATAATTAGGTTTAAAAAAATCATCCTGGTAGCAACTGGAAGGTGGTTTGGAGGAAAAATAAATGAGGAAGATAAAGCAAAAATAGCCTATGCAGAAGATGAGATCCTGACCTAAGGCAGTGTCAGGGGGGTGGAGGGAGGCAAGATAATGGATATGAGATTCATTTTGACAAAAGACATGTTTAAAATCTTGTAGATTGGAGGTGGATGATACAACTGAAGGAGAAATCTATGATGATTGTCTGGTGTTTTAGTTAAGAGATGAGATACAGGAAAGAAGGAAGGACCTGACTTGGCAGGATGTCTGGTAATTCAACTTTAGATGGGCCAAGTTTGAGGTCTGTAGGATCAACACTGGACTGTGAACCTCAAGGTTGGTGGTTTGAACCTACCAGCTGCTCCTTGAAAATCCTATATAAGGTTTCTGTGAATCGGAGCCAACTCAACGGCACTTAACAACAACAATAAGCAATATCCAGTAAGAAGTTTAACATTCTGATTGTAAACCGAGTTTACAAATGAGATCTGGATCAGAGTAGAAGTGGGTGTGGAAGCTGTGAGAATGGTTAAGAGAAGAGGACCTGGCGGACGCCATAACATAAAGGAACAGAGCAGCAGGAGACCCTATGCATGAAGAAAGCCCATGTATTGCAAAGCAGCAATGGGTGCTTCACTGATTTGGCAAAGCCTCACAGGGAAATTTCGTGGGGGGAGGGGGGAGGGGGACCTTGCTAGCTTTGTTGTTTCTTTTTTAATTCTTTCATTTTAGTAAGAATCAATATTATAAGTAATCAATATCATACTAATTATTCTGATTTTTAAAATATACATTTTTTTTTATTTTTTATAGCTTAATAATCAGACATTTTAAAGCAGTTAAAACACTGCCAGTATAAAGTTGAGATCATAATCTAGCACCTGTTTTATTTAAAAAATAGAAAGGGAGGAGATGGCGGAGGCCATGCAGAGGAGCCTAAACATGAAGGGCTCATTGTTAAGTAGGGCCACAATGGGTCCCCCCTTTGTAACACAAGGCCCCAGGAGGGATCTCATGTGGGGACTCTGCTGTCTTCTGTCTCTTTGTTTTAATCAGCTTATTTTTAATTTTCTTGATTTTATAATAAAAGTTTTCTGTAGAATCTTAGTAAGAACTATATTAGAGATTTGAAACTTGCACCTTCACACCATATTCAATCATGCGTAGTCCTAAAGAATGCTTCTCACACTAACAATAAGTTTCACCACTAGGAAAAACCAGCTAAAGTTTTTGCCAGTTCAAGTTTAAAATTACATTCAGCATTCTGTGTAGTTTCGGTCAGGGGCATTAAGACCTTTAGAAAATTAGCAAAAATGCAATTGAGGGCTAAGGGAATAGTATTAGATCATAAGCAGAAATTTAACTAGATGTTTTGTATAGAGAAGTTTTTGGTATAAGGAAGTTGTTCTGTTTCTTCTTGGCTACAAAACTTTTTTATGCTTCTTGTTTAATCAATCATGAGAAACTGTGTTGTCAGTTACCATAGCAAATAAGGTCTAGGTACATGTTGTGATTAATGAATCTATAGAAAATAATAGGTGAAGGCAGAAATAGGAGTTAAGATTTAGAATTATGTTTTAAGGCTAACGTGACATTTTTAGAGCAATGAGGTTTGCTTACAGAAATCATATATTGTCTAACTATGTAAAGGGGAACAAGGAACATTTTTATATTCTTGATGCTCTATATTGAAATGATTAATATGTATGATTTAGACCACTACTTTGAAAAGAATGATTAATAGATTGTTGGTATAGAGTAGTATAAAAGCTGTTTGAGAATCTGAAATAAGTAAGTTGTTGTCGTTGTTGTTGTTAAGTGCCGTCGAGTCGGTTCCAACCCATAGCGACCCTGTACAGGGTTTCCGAGTAGAAAGCCTCATCTTTCTCCCGGGGAGCGACTGGTAGTTTTGAACGGCTGACCTTAAGGTTCACAGTCCGATTCGTAACCACTACGCTACCAAAGCTCCTTGAAATAAGTAAGAGGAGAAATAAAATGTGAAGGGAAAAAGAGGAGAAATAAAATGTGAGAGGAGAAGATTCACCATCTAACATGACCCATCGATTCTGTGAGCTTCATTCTTCGCCAACGTCATACCTCCCTCTAGGACCCCCAAATAAGAGTGTCGTAGCAGGCTTCCAACAAGGACCCAAAATAAAATTCAATCCCAACATTACAGGCAGTGAAAGAAGGCCTGAGGAATTGTGTAAGAAATAATATCTGCAGCAAAGTTCTCTCAGAATCCTAGGTAGAATTTCAGGAAGGAAGGAAATATTCTTTGCATAAACAGTATCAAGGTGAAATACCTTAAACTTGGATGTGGGGGGGCAGGGACGGCAAGTGAAAAGAGTTCTAGAAGAAGGTGGGAGCAGAAGCCAGACAGAGGATAAGGAGGGAACCTCCTTCCAGACATGCAAATGCCTTGGCTTTACCTTCACTTCCATGGTGAATGGAGGGACACAGGCGTTTTCTGCTCTCCCCACTATCACTTCCTCTAAGGGATCCCATTCGTTGTATGAAGAGACAGGGCAGTCCTTGGGCAAAGGGTCAGTGGCCTTGTCGTCAGCTGCACAGGAGTTCCGAGAAGAAGCGGTAGCTGCCTGGGTGCTCTGGAAAGTTCGCTGCACCCACCCTGTTAAGTTTCTTACAAGCTTTGGAAAACAAAGAAAAGATTATTGTGCAGCCTTGTACCGTACATGGGGGAGGAGGAAGAAAGGGGGGATGAAAATCAGAGTTACTTAGTCAGACATTTAAAATCCATTAGGGAGATGGTAAACCAAGAGGTTAATGGTGTATAGGTCAGTAGGAAGATTACAGGAGATGCTTACCTTCTCCTGGTTGATTTTTTTTTTTCCCCCTGAGCTTATATTAATTGATATAACTCTTTAAAACTTCTCAGAAGGTTTTGCCCTTAATGGTCATACACTTTCATTGGTATCTCAGAGTGAATTTCTGCAATTAAACTTTAATTGATATCTCAGAGTTGATTTCTACAATTAAACTTGAATCAAGTTTTAAGCAGTTCTTCTGCAGATGATAATTCACTTTCTTCCCAGAAAGCTATTCCACGCCTTTGCTAAATTCAGCCCTGGATAGCGAATTCCCCCTCACCATCAAAGGTTGGAGTCCTGGAGTGGCGCTGTAGAATAAGCGCTCAATAGTAAGGCTGGTTTGAACCGCAAGGCTGGAGGTTCAAATTCCACAGTTGCTCCTCAGAAACCCTACACAGAGTCACTATGAGTTAGAACTCGACGGCAGTTAACAACATTCAAAGGTTTACCAATATAGTCTTTATCTGTAAAGGACAATTTGGGGAATTTTCAAAGGGCCGTATCTTTCAGAGTACTCAGTTTCAATCTAAAAATTTTTCATTGCTGATACTCACTTCACATTCTTTAGCACCTCAGTTCTGGGAGTGACCAATTGCCATGCGCTTCAAGAGCCCTAGCCAAGATAAGGGTTAACGGAGGCACACATTTAAACTAAAAAGAAGATCTAAGAACTTCAAAAGGGCTCTTAAGAGAGCAAGGCCAGTAAAATCTAGAGCGGGGAGTTCCACAACCATTTGAGCAAACCTCTCCCCTCCCCGTCCTATATCTACCCTACTCAGTTGTTTTAGGAGCTCGGCTGAAGGGAAGCTGGGGTGCAGACCAAAGCCAATGGGAGAGCGACAGCTGTTCTGGAACCAGTTGTTGGGGAAAGTCACACTGCCTGAGCTATTCCTGTCCTAGGAGTAAGGGATGGTTCCCGGGCGCGTGCTCACATCCCAGGGACATGGAGCAGAAACTTTGGGCACTGACAGAATTCGCTTTAATTCTTCTTACCATTCAGGATTCCATTAGTTCACTTGGGAGAGTCTGCTCTATCTTTTTCCGTCCCCCAATCCCCAGCTCTCTCTTTCCTCCATGCCTCCACCCCACACGCATTTTCCTGAAAGTCCCTCAACTCTACACCCACCTTGGGCACCGACTCCCAATACCACCACCACCACGCTTTTCCTAATTACTGCCATTCGTCGTCCCCCAACCCCTCCCGCCGCGCCCTGAGAGGAAAGCTGCGTGAATTTGAGGGTGATGCCCGGTGCACAGAGACCACCGTGGTGTGGCCCTGCCAGGAGCTACTGTACCCACGGGGTGGGGTAGCCAAACATGCGATCCTGCAACCAGCAAAGGTCCTTCCGAGTTTCCAAGAGGGATCAGAAGGAGCATTATAGTTTAATACTAGTTTGAGAATGTTAGGAAACCCCGCGGCTCCAGGGATGGAGTGCAGGACCATGGCACACGCACCCGAGACCCGATGTAATGCACCGCTTCGGCACCGCGGCTCCCGCCACGCAGACACCGCACCCGCAGCATCGTCTAGAGCCTGGCTGGTCCACGAGCGGAATGTTCACAGCGGCGTGCGTCCAAGCCTCCAGACAGCAAGCGCACAGGATGTCTCCAGGCGCGCTCCGCCCGCAGCCTTTTAT